AGCAAAGCATTTGGTGAGGGACAAATATGAGTTATGGTTCTCCTTCGATAAGAATAGAAGAGAAGAATATTTAGCGCTAACAGTAAATTGTAGTAAAGTGAAGAGATTTTTTTCCCTGGGGGTCTACAACGGAAGGGATGGTAGAAGTTGGTAGTTGTCTTTGAACTTGCGAATAGACCGGTCAAAAACTCTAGTCGTGGTGCAAGGAGTGGGCGCGAGGTCAGGAAGCCTTCCATCATTAAGGTGGGTCAGCTGGAAAAACCGTGGCAACTATCTTTTCCATGCCTGCACTATAATGACCTGATTCATGTTTCATTGGGAGGAGGTGCTCCTAAATCCTACACGGTGGCACTACACTCGACCGAAGGCATTGTGAAATGGGTAGGGTAGAGGAAACCTGGTGGGTTGTCAAGTTGGCTTGGCCCGAGAGCCCAATTTCAAAATGACAAATGTCATAATCGGCTTGTTCAAACGGGACAAAATAAAATGAACATTGGGCCAAGTATGACCCTAAAGTACACTTGGAAGGAAAAGGAAAAGTGTTTGGCAAGCCCAACAATAAAAGATGACATTATAACTTACCCCGACCCAGTTAGGAGCTTTAACGCTATTAGAGGTGAATGCTCGGGAACAAAGACTGGGAACTCTCCTAGGGAAAGCCAATTGATGCCCCAAGGAAGGAATGGTAGGGCTGGAGAAGCGACCAAAGAGGAATTTAGGAGGGTGATTGATTCAAAGAATTCAAGTGTGGGAGACGAAGATGAGATGGTCTCTTTGTTTTCTTCAATGGAAGAATTTGACAGTGAAGGTAGGTTTCAGGCAGATAGTCAGCACGAAGAAGAGAAGCTATCAAATATGGATTTGGTGGTTGTTGATGAAGAAGCTTATGCACTCGCATCAGAGTACGATACTGAAATTGAGGAGATCCTCAAGATAAGTCTGGAAAGGGTGAATATTTCGACGAAGGAAGTGGACTACTGCTCACAGTGGATGACTAACAACGTACAAAAATTCAACAAACAGATGGGTGTTTCGTTTGAAAGTATGGAACATTTGACTTTCTTATTTTTCTCTGAAGTTGAAATAAGAAAATTTCAAAGAAAAAATCGGGTGTGAATATCAAAAATAGGAAGAAGCAAAACGAGGTCTTTCGAGGGAGTTAAAAAGACTTGAGTCCATAATTAACTATGAGAACAAGAGCAAAGGAGGGAAGATCGAGGGCGGGGTGAGGATGATTGACCAATGATAGGGAAAATAATTTCTTGGAATGTCCGTGGTGTAAACGATAGGGGCAAAAGATTAATCATTCGGAGATGTCTTAATAAATGGAGCCCTACTGTGGTCTGTCTACAAAAAACGAAAATGGAAGATTATAACAGTGAGATTATTAACAGCATTTGGGGTATCAAGGATAGGGTGGCAGGTCATTCCCGCCAATGGGACGGCTGGTGTGCTGATTATTATGTGAAGGATCATATTCAATGCATGGATATGATAAAGAGAGAGTGTACTTTGTCTTGTACGTTTAAAAACAGCAAAGGAGATTTTACCTAGATGTTCACTGGCGTGTATTGCAAGGGCAATAGAATTGAAAAAGATGTAATGTGGAGTGAACTGGAGGAATGCCGAACAAAATGGGATAGGAACTGGATAATTGGTGGTGACTTTAATATGATTATGAGAAGGGAGGAAAGAAATGGTGACAATTTTTCGGCAAAGGAAGCTAGTGAATTCAAAGAGAGGATGGATAGAGTGGGAGTTGTTGATCTTCCATTATCTGAAGGACAATGGACTTGGTCTAACAAAAAATGCAGTTTGAGGATTGATAGGTTCTTTGTGTCCGTTAATTTGATGGTGGAACTGGCTGGAATTAGTCATAAAACATTATCCAGACCCATTTCTGATTATTTCCCGATTTGTATTGAGGCTGGAAGGGATCAAATGGGGGCCTACTCCTTTCCGGTTGGATCACAAATGGTTGGGGAAGGAAAATTTTTCGACTTTTGTGGAAAAAATCTGGAAGAATACTGAGATTGAGGGTTGTGCCCGTTATAGAGTTGCTCAGAAATTAAGAATCCTCAAAAACAAAATCAAAGTCTGGTCAAAAGAGGTTTTGAAGAAGGATAGAGCTGGGTTTGATTGTATTATGGCAGAAATTAGTGATTTGGGTTGGAAAGAAAGTACTGTGGGTTTAGATGGTGTTAACTGAGGCAAGTGATGTAAACTGAAGTATGATTTGGCCAAATACTTGATGGATGAGGAATCCATGTGGAGGCAGAGATCTAGAGAAAAATGGCTGGCTGATGGTGACAGAAACACACAATAGTTTCATGCTACTTACAGGCGCAGCTGCAACAATATTGAGGAGGTTAGAGTGGGTAAGACCAAAATTCATGGTAATACAGAGTTAAGGGAAGCAGCCGAAGCTCATTTTTCAAATTTGTACACAGAAAAGTTTGAGATCAGACCCAAACTAGACGGCTTGCCTTTCACATGTTTATCTGAAGCAAATAAACAGATGCTTGAAGTTGATTTTACTGAGGAGGAAGTTTTGCTCGGATTGAAATCATGCAGTGGTAATAAAGCACCTGGTCCGGACGGTTTTAATATGACATTTCTCCAATCTTTTTGGTATCTTTTAAAAGATGAGATAATGTGTATTTTCAAGGAGCTGCACTCGTCTGGAAAATTTGTCAAGTCTTTGAACTCAACCTTTATCACCCTCATTCCAAAAAGAGTGGTGCTAATGACTTCAATAATTTTCGGTCTATAAGTTTGGTTGGATGTATTTACAAATTAATCGCTAAGGTTTTGGCTAGGAGACTCGCTAATGTATTGGGGGAGATTATTGGTGAATGTCAACACGCTTTTGTGGGTGGGAGGCAGATCTTAGATGTTGTCATGGCTGCAAACGTGACTGTTGATGATTTACTAACCAATAATAAGGAGGGATTAGTGTGCAAGCTTGATATGGAGAAGGTTTATGATCACGTAAATTGGAATTTTGTTGATTACACACTTAATAGAATGGGTTTTGGCTTGAAATGGAGGAAGTGGATGAGATCCTGTGTTACAGCATCTTTTGCGGTTTTAATTAATGGGGACCCCTCAAATTTCTTCAATGTCTCTAGGGGTTTAAGGCAAGGGGACCCGTTTTCCTCTCTCCTTTTTATAATCGTTATGGAATCTCTTAATGGGTTACTTAATAGGGCAAATGAATTGCTGCTCCTGCAGGGTGTCTCGGTGGGGAAGGGGGAAAAAAGTACTGTTGTTACTCGTATTTTCTTTGCAGATAGCACTTTATATTTTGCAACCTTGATATGAGGAATCTTCTTCATTTGAGATGTGTTTTTTTATGCTTTCAAGTGGTTTCTGGACTCAAGATCAATCTCAACAAATCTGATTTAGCTAGAACTGGTGGTGATGGTTATGCGCAGCCTTTTGCAAAAATTTTGGGATGTAAGGAAGTAAAATTTCCATCCAAATATCTTGGGGTTCCATTAGGGGCTAAGTACAAAGATTAACCTACTTGAAAACCGGTTATCAACATGTTTGAGAAGAGATTAGCGGGTTGGAAGAGAGGTTTTCTTTCAAAAGGTGGGAGATATACTTTAATTAAGAGTATTTTGGTAATCTAACAATCTACTATCTATCTACAATTACTATTCCCATGAAGGTGGTTAAAAAATTGGAATCTATTCAGCATAATTTCCTTTGGGGTGATGGTGATGATGGTCATAAATACTATTTGGTTAATTGGGATGACATCAAAAGCCCCATCACTTTTGGGGGTTTGGGTATCCGGTTTTTGGTTAAATTAAATGAAGCTTTTTAAGGCAAATGGTTGTGGAGGTATTGGGATGAGAAGAATAGCCTTTGGCGATGGATCATTGATGGTAGATGGGGAGAGTATATGGTGAACAACAAGAAACTCAAAATTCCGGGCATGGTCTTTGGCAGAAAATTGTGATGCTATGGCTTTCTTTCTGACAGTGCATTCAATGGAAAGTTAGTAGAGGCAATCTAATTAATTTTTGGGAGGATGCTTGGGCTGGTGATGGGAGCTTAAGGAGTAGATTTCCTAGGCTGTACAGCCTTTCAAAAAATAGAGATATGAATGTGGAGAATGCGTACCAGGTCTGTAATGGTATCATTGTGTGGTTATTTATTTAAAGAGAAACTTAAATGATTGGGAAGTGGATGAATTTAAAGATTTGCTACAGCTGTTAGATTCTCAAAGGATTTCACAGATGGATAATCAGATTGGAAATTGGACAAAAATGGTATTTTTTCTGTCTCCTCTTATTACCAGTACCTGTGTAAGAATTGTGCTGCTGACAAAATTGTTTTCCTGGCAAACATCATCTGGAAGACAAACATGCCCCCCGCATGGCTTTTTTTGTTTGGGAAGCATGCTGGAACAGAATTTTAACCATCGACAGATTGAAATCCAAAGGACGGATCTTTGTCAATGGTTGCTATTGTTGTCTTTTGGCTGAGGAAACGTGCAACCATCTGTTATTGTGGTGTCCAATAATCTATAATTTATGGTGTATGATTTACGGATTTCTTGGGATTGATTGGGTGATTGCGAGTTCGGTTAGGGAGGAAGTTTGGGCTTGGGAGGGTCACATGTAAAAAGAAGCTTTGTTAACATTATCCCATTAAGTGTCTTTTGAGTCATTTAGAAAGAGAGAAATAGAAGAGTTTTTTATAGTGTTCAGAGTAGCTTAAATAGATTAAAAAATAGTTGGTTACACACTTTTTGGTCAGTATTATTAGGTTATGACATTAATAGTAATCTGTATTTTGGGATTGTCATTAATATGCTAACTTTGCTGTAAATATTTTTGTACATGAGCGGTACCACCTGGTTTTAGTACCAAATTAATACATACATTACACTTTTTATTTCAAAAAAAAAAAAAACAAAACAAAACATTACCCTGATCCCTCCATTTTCTGTCTGTAAGAGCTCATTGATTTCACATTCATCTCAGCCAGTGAGCATCTAGCTGCAACAATTGATGGGAAATCTATTGCTGAGGAAATCAGGTCAAGAATAACTAGCGAAGTATGTAGAATGAAGGAAATAATTGGGGAAGTTCCAGGTCTGGCAGTAATTTTGGTTGGTCAAAGAAGAGACTCGCAAACTTATGTTCGAAACAAGATAAAAGCTTGTGAAGAAGCTGGAATCAAGTCCCTGATGACTGAACTTCCTGAGAATTGTAAAGAAGAAGAAGTTATTAATGCTGTGTCAAGCTTTAATGAAGATCCATCAATTCACGGTATTCTTGTACAACTTCCTCTACCACAGGTAATTTCTATAGCTTTTATATCAAATTATTATTTTTAATTATGCTTATTTGAAAGTAAGATGTCAAGACCTTCAATGTTGAATGCAAATCAGAGCTGTATCACTTCACTGATATATTCTCTCTCTAGCTTTTCGGTCATCTACTAAACCAGTTTATCTGAATCTTCCCATTTATAGGTTTCCTATTTGGCCATCAATTATATACTCCTATTTGTCTTTTCTATTGGGGCTTGTAATTGCATATTGACATTTACTACAAATTTTTTTTTATATAAATAATTTACTACAAAGAAGTACTTCAGGGTAACTGAAGTTCAATTAGGTTGTTTAGTGGCAGAATGATTTTTGCTCATCAGCTTGGCATATGAAAGTGCAGGACTTTTGCAGGACTTTCTTAGTGTTTGAATGTCTTGGCATGCATGCATAGTTTTCTGATTATTTAAGGGATCTGATTAGGGACAGGAATTGTTAAGTGCAGCATGTTAATTACTTTACGGGAAAAATTCTACACAAAATTTAGTTCCTTTCAGTTGGTCATGTGCTGCCATAAAATAGGGAAGGCTTTTTATCAATCCTACAAGTTGGTTTTTTTGGTGACTGATAAAAGACGTTTGGTACAGCACCTAGATGAGGAAAAGATTTTGAATTCGGTGAAGCTAGAGAAAGATGTGGATGGTTTCCATCCCTTGAATATGGGGAATCTTGCAATGAGAGGAAAGGAACCACTGTTCATCTCATGTACTCCGAAGGGTTGTGTTGAATTATTAATCAGGTCAGGGGTGGAAATAATGGGGAAGAACGCTGTGGTGATTGGGAGAAGCAACATTGTTGGGTTACCCACATCCTTATTATTGCAGGTATGTTGCATATTGATTCAAAATCACCTGCGTTATTCTTCTATTTTTTGGCTTGAGGTTCTTACAGAAGCAATTTTATCTTTTTGTACAATGTTGGGTAGAGGCACCATGCAACAGTGAGTATCGTAAATGCTTTCACAAAGAACCCGGAGCAGATAACCTGTGAAGCTGACATTGTGATCGCAGCTACAGGAGTGCCCAATCTGGTTCGTGGCCATTGGCTAAAGCCTGGTGCAGTTGTCATTGATGTTGGAACATGTCCAATTGAGGTAAAATATTACCTGTGCAATTTGCTGCTTGTTTTCATATACTTTCCATGGATGAACCAAGTACATGCCCAAGACAGAAGTTGGATCCCATAAACAAAGTATATTTATGAGGTCCCTATCTCTTTTTTTACTGTCGGAGTTTTTCTTTTAATCTCTAAAAAAATCTAAAATGATCAGGATCCCAGCAGCGAATTTGGTTACCGCCTTACTGGGGATGTTTGCTATGAAGAAGCTGTAAGGGTGGCATCAGCTATTACTCCTGTTCCTGGAGGAGTTGGACCCATGACAATTGCCATGCTGCTGTTTTAATACTCTGGATTCTGCTAAGAGGATTTTTTATTTTAATTGACTACGCTTTAGTTACACACCCTTTACACCAACTGGCTATTCGTGTTTATTTTTGTAACTACATACATATTTTATCTTCTAGAAAGGAAATACTAAACTATTTCGTAACCGTAATGTTGATGACGTGTTCTTGCTATGAATTGTGAATAATGGACTACAAGTTGGCGCCTGGTTAATAGCCACTGGCCAATATTCCATAGAAGGTTAATCACCAATATGAATTCTAATTATCACCTGTAAATACAACTTAAAACTTCAATAAAGTGCAGTTGAATGTAGAAGTTTCCAACATCATCCTTTCTAGATGAAACTAACAATTCAACTTAATCAGGATAGACTCAAATATAGATATCATTTTAATTGTATATGTGCTAACTTGATTTGGTTCAACATCCAAACAGATCTTTGTTTTCCAATAAAGATAAACCTTTAAAATACAATTCCCAAATCCGTAGTGAAAATAATCTTACTTATATAGCTCCCACCTCTAATTTGGTATAAGAAAAGACTGAATGACCAAATTGCCATGGGGCATTTTGCATGATAGTAACATATGTTACAGATTTCCAGGACATATACAGATGATACTTGTACACGATGCTGAGACTGCCTTTCTGAATGATAAAAATCAAAACAAATTTCAGAATGTTGAAACTAGAAACTAGGAAACGATTAATAATACAAATGAATCTGGGAGGTAAAATCACTTGATGATGAACCATCGCTAATTGTCACACAAGTTGTAGGTCTTTCATCCTTCCATGTCCATTGACTGCACTGGTTCAACCACTGGAGGTATGCAGTCTACTTTATAGCGCAGTGCCTATTCAGTCAGGTGAACAACGGGAAAAACAATCATACACATTCAACTGATTAAGGCTAATTTGGCTAAAAACACTAATTTCATTGAATTGGAAGAAATGCTAAAGAAATAGAATAACATTTAAAATAGAATAGAATTCTAACTACATTAGCTATAAATGCCAAGTGAATTTACAATTCCTAGCTGAGAATAGCAATTCATTACCAGGAAGGTTAAATTTATATGAAACTAATAACAGTGGATCAAACTTGAAAAGTTACTTCAAAAAAACATGAATTGTTATTCAGACTTATTTTCCCAATAATTAAAACCCGTGGAATAAAATAAAGGTTTAACCAAACAGAATCTAGAAAAGTAACGGTTTGTATCTGCTTAAAGTAAATCAAATGATTAAAAACAAGTTATCATAGTTTGATTTTAACCATAGATTCTACTAATACTGCCTTGAGTTGTAAACAAAAGGCAGGAAAATTTCCATTTATTTGTCTATTGAAAAAGTAAAAGATCAGAGTTGAAATGCTGTGCAGGACTTCAGGAATCAGACGTCACAATACTATGAACACTTTCCATCTTATTATCTTAAAGTTCATATATGTTTATTCATAGAAATAACATTATCTATCTTATCATTTTCAAATTCATATATGTTCATTCATAAAGATGATGTTATTTTGTGTATGAGTGCATAGCACACCAATGCACAATGGTATAAACACAAAAAGAAAATAAATTGCAGTCCTAAAATTCAAATATAATTATAAGGTACATAGATAACAATTTGTTCCTTATAAAGAAAATATATGAATCACATAATAAATACTAAATAACAATTTATCGACCACATAATAGCCATGTAACTGTCAAATAGTAAAAACATAACGTAGTACGTGATCTTACTTGAAAGACATCAGGTGTCACCAATAGAAATATATTGAATGGCAGAAAAGAGAAACATGCCAAGCAAAAAAGAAGGAAACCGTCATTTCAAAAATAAATAAATAAATGCAACCATACCAATTCTGAGGCACAGAGGAGACATCAAACTGGTAAGGATTAGGGGCCAACTAGGTACAGACTTGGGGGTTTATTTTGGGAGGAATTGTCATATTTGTCAAGCTTTTGCAGTCCTTTTTGGTGCTTAGGAGAGGATTTAATGCTTGTAGATTTCCGCTTGAGAGGCTACAGCAGAATAGAATGTCCAATCAATGGAGAATTTTATTGCTTTCATGGAAGAATTTGAGTTGAAAGACCTTATTTTAGCAAATCAATTTCCTTAGTTGACAGACAAAGGATAATCTCATCAAGCTTCGACTGGTTTCTAATCTCTAAATGCTAGGAGGATAGGGAAAGATAATCTCATCAAGCTTCGACTGGTTTCTAATCTCTAATGCTAGGAGGATAGCTTTCCCGATCTAATACAAGAAATCCTCTCACGCTGTCTCATATCACTTGCCTGTTGTGCTTGAATCCCAACAGAGATGAGGGTCCTAACTTTTCCGGTTTGAGGATATCTGGTTGCAACATCTGGAGTTTGGGTCAAGAGTGAGGGAGCAGGGGTGGGAAGGAAGTGATGATGGGTGGGAGGGGCACAAATTTTTTAGGGGACTTAGGAAACTGAATGAGAAATTGAAACATGGCATAAGGAGGTATTTGGAAATACCTACTTAAAAAAGTAGGAATACTCAAGGAAATAAACGACTTAGAAAAACTTGTAGCGGAGACCACAATCTCATAGCCAAAAGGAAAAAACTGTTTAGTCTAAGAAATGAGCTAGACAAAGTGTTGGTGAGAAGAGAGAAGTTGAAGACAAAAAATTCAAATGGGTGAAGAAGAGGGATGTAAGTATGCAATTGTACCAGAGTAGTCAATGGGCATAAATGGAAGAATATAATAAAAGAATTGGAGCTCGGCAACAGGGTAGAAGAGAGGAGAGTGGAGGCTGCAGGATGAGAGATGGCATAATATTTCAAAAGTTGTACATCAAAGAGGTAGAAAATTGGCCTTTCTTTGAGAGCATAAATTGGGCGTCTATTAGTGAGCATAAGGCGAACTACTTGAAAAGAACATTCGATGAGGAGGAACTAAAGCGAGCAGTTTGGGAGTTAGGGAGTGATAAAGCACTAGGTCCAGATAGTTTTCTATAAAATTCTTCAAGAACTATTGGGAAACAATAAAATGGACTCAGTTAGAGTGTTTGAAGAACTTTTTATTTAAATGCGACTCTCTATAAAAGTATGAACTCTATCTTTATTACTCTAATCCCTAAGGACAAGTCTAAGCAGGCCTTCGACTATTGCCCCATAAGTTCAGTGACAAGTGTGTACAAGATCATTGCTATGGTACTCTCACTAAGGATTAGCAAGATTTTAGAGGATATAATTTCACCAAACCAAAGTGTCTTGATAAGAGATAGACAGATCTTTGATGCACATCTAGTGGCAAAAGAAGTGGTAAATTTTACTCGTAAGTAAAAGGAAAAAGGGTTTATTCTCAAACAGGATTTTGAGAAGGCCTATAACAAAGTTCATAGGAGGTATGGATCGTAAAGATTTTGGGATAAGATGGAGAAGGTGGATTCACGGTTACCTGTCATAAGTCACTTTTGCGGTACTTATTGATGGTAAGGCCCAAGAATGATTACAAACATCACGAGGGTTAAGGCAGGAGGACCCCCTGTCTCCATTTCTATTTACCACAGTGGTTGATGTTCTAAGCAGGATGATTACTAGAACAATGGTTGGAAGTATAGTGTGGAGGTTTCTGTTTCATATTAAGAGTGTGATTGCTCTTATACAAGTACTTGAACAGATTCTAGGATTGAATAGAAATTTGGGGAAGAGTAGTCTTACAAGAATTAATGTGGATGATGCAACTCTGATGAACCTAGCGGAGTCGATTGGATGCACTAGAAGTATTTGCCCATGACTTACTTAGCAGTCACTTTGGGAGGGAAGCCTAGTAGCAAAGTATTTTTGGGGAGGTGGTTGAGAATAACGTGTCCAGCAGGCTAGAGAGTTGGAAAATGGGACTTTTTTCTCTATGAGAAAGAGTTACCTTGATCCAAGCTTGTTTATCCATTATACCATTCTATTTCTTATCCTTGTTCAGGATATGGGCAGGCTTGTAGAGAGATTAAAGGGATGTACTAGAAGATCTCTATAAATATAAGCTCAAGAAGAAAAACACGACATGCAGTTAGTTGAGTTGCAAATCCAAGAGTTCTGGAGGGTTGAGAATTTGGGAATCTTAGATCTGATAACTTATCTTTACCAGTTAAATGCTGCTTTAGCACTTACCTCAAGCCAAATTTTTTGTGGTACAAAGTGACTTAAAAGTATCCATGGGAGTGGGAACAGATGGGATACTGCAACAGGAAGATTCATATCCAACCAGAGTCTTTGAAAGCCATCTTCCATGTACTTCTTTTGTCCCTTTCCCTCACCCGGCTCCAAGTGGAAGATGGTTATAGAGTGAGATTTTGGCAAGACACATGGGTGGGTTAACAACCTTTGGCCACACAATTTTTCTAATTGTTTAGTCTTTCTTCAAGACACAACACCTCTGCCTCTGAATTTGTTTTAAACAGCAAGGGGAACATTGCTTGGAAGTTTTATTTCGCATGCAACCTATTGAATAGGGAGGTTCTTGAATTGCAGAATTTTTTGGCACAACTAGAGCTTATTTACCTTTCTTTTCCTTCGATCCATCAGAGACATACACTTGAAGGTCTTTTTTTGAATATCTCATTAAACATCACGATGGGGATGGATATGTCTCTTCCGCTAGCACTTTAATCAATAAAACTCCTGCAACAAGAAAATCCCAAGCCCAACAAAGGGCTACTTCAAGACAAGAATTGGATTCCCATCTCGCCAGTAAAGTGACTCAAATGCTTAGTCGACTTTGGCTTGCTTTCTAGAGTCATCAATTGACGTTGAGTGCCATCCCATCCGAAACATCCTTTCCAGAAGACGAGTGTCGCCCATAAGACTCATTCGTTCTACTTCCTTTTTGTTGAACTATTGACTCATGCCTGGTAGTCAGCGTTGGAAGTTACCTTGCTTTCCTTTCCACATCACTGTTGAAACAATAAGGGGAATGAAGTTGCTACCAAGATAATACTTTCTTTTCTTTAGAAAACCATATTGGGTGATTCCCGAAGAAAAGTTGCTACCTTAGCACCCAAACCTATCACGGTTTTTTCTGAACCTGAAGTAGGTTATTAAACCTAATTAAAGTTACACCGAATTAGGTAATAGTACGTTGCTTCTTTCTTTTTCATATCTGCTGTCCCGGTTGAGTTCCGCTATCAACTAATTACAGTCGCATAGCAAGCGATGTAATAAATTACTAAGGTGAATGATGGGTAACTACTAGTGTAGTCAGTCAGTCTACATGCTATACGTTTTTCACTATTTAAGTAAAGGTCTTCTTTCTTTGGAGCTCAAGGGCCTATGATGTAGGGATTGTGTTTAGATGTCCGAATGACCTTTTGTTTGAGAGAAATTGATCATATAACCAAGGTTCAAAGAAAGGGTGGGAAAGAAGAATAGCGCTCAGAGGGAGAGAATTCTTTCTATTCCATTTCATTGCCCTCTTATCTTATTATATTACATTGTCAGTAGGTCAGTCAACTCATATAGAAAGAAGTGTCTTTGCGGAGAGATGCCCAATAAGAAGGGCCTTTCTAGAATATAAATCGTCGATTAGGTTTTATCCGAAAGATTGGAATAACCTTTTACCCTATCCTTTGGAGTAGGGCGTGCAAGGCCTGCCTCTTTTTTTAGTAGGTGATTTACTACCGAAGCGAAGAAAAGGCTTGATCAAGAAAAGGGGGTACGACGAGCCCTCTGCCCTCCTAACCAATTTCATACTGCAAAATTGTTTTGGAAAGTACCAGTTCCATCAAAGATAAAAATACTTACATGGACAGCCATGCATCAAAGGTTCAATACCAACAAGATGCTACGAATCTGACAACTATACCTTGAGCTATCTCTAGACATCTGCGTAATATGCTTTAGAGGATAACATACATTACCTTTTATTTCTCCATTGCAAGGTTATTTGGAAGCTTTGGATGAAATTATCAACTCTCTTTGGCATCATGTGGGTCACATATCCCACGGTTGAAAGCCTTTTAGGGGTGTACACTAAGGTGATGGGGTGAGAAAGGAAGCGAGACGTTGTGGCAAGGGGCTATCTAACTCTTTATGGAGAATATGGTTTGCACGTAACTAGAAAATTTTTTACAACCGAAGTACGTCATTTCATGAGCAATGTAAGAGGATGACTTTTCTAGTATCATCATAGTCAAGCATATAGAAAATTAATTAACCTACCTATTCCTGGACTTCATTGAAGTAGGGAGATTATTGTTTTTGGTCCTTAATTTCTTACGTTCTTTTCTGATCATATATTTTTATATTTTTTCGCTCGCTATAGTCTATAACATTTAGAGAATATTTTTCCCTCCTTTCTTTGTATTTTTTTGCATTTATCTTAAAAAATCTTTTTTTTCTATTAAATAAAAGTGAGTTTAGTGTGAAAGAGAAACATGCCAACATTGATATATAGAAAACAAGGCTTTGTGCTAGAAACTGATTGAACAGAAAACTTGTCACAGCATGATTACCAAAATGAGATCCAAAGAAAAATAAAATGAACCCCATGAACTCATTTTCCTACCTTCTTGAAGAAAGTTGAATATGAATTATCCCATATGAGTTTGTAGTTTCCAGCCATGCACGTGCAGAAATTTCCCTGTGATAACATTTTTAAAATTGAGAGGATACATACTCTGATTACTAAGCCAAGTATTTCACAAACAGATGCAGGAACTCACTTGATCAGACTCATACCGACCATAAGGTAACACAGGCTGAAAGATGAATCACCCATTCCCCAAGACAAAAAAGAAGAAAAGTAACAAGTCAGTCAACTACAAGAAAGAACAAACAAAAAAAACAAAAAGCAAAGACATTGCCTTAACTCACAGTTTTTCTACCAGAAGGATCTGTATACTCCACACTAAATCCAATATCCTGACAGCAAAAATGAAAAGCTAAATGCAAGGAAGAATCCATTCAATATAAATCATGCATCTCAAAAAAATTCAACATGTATGATCTCAAAAAATGCAATACACAAGACCCATCAGAAGATCAATCTAATAATGGCCCTCAGATCCCTTCAGAGATCATCAATAAATCTGACTGGTTTTTCAGAGCCATAAGCATTCAAGAAAAAGAATTCGGATGTCATATCGCCTTTTACATCATCAAAACACAATGGCTACAATCCGAAAAGTTCTGCAGTTTGATCATGCTAGAAATCAAGATCTTCATGCTTACAAAAGCATGGCAAGAAATCTAACCATGATCAAGGATCTTTAGGCATCCATGTAAAATCCAGGCAATTAAGTTTCCTGCCAAAAGTTTTTTCAATTTTGCAGACCAAAAGAAAATATAGAATTCACACTGCAAACAGCTTCAGCTTCATGTTTGCAGATCACTTATTATGAGTTTAGCACAAGATCCCCATGTAAAGAATCACAAGCTAAAATTTACTGGTATCCTAGTAGGTATGCTGACCTCAACATCCACAACAATGTAGTTTTGAAGGATTCACACGATTTAATCCATTATGCAATTCACTTAATTCTTGTTAATATTAAACCTATGGAAATATTTTAATAATTTATTTTCATTTACTTAAAAATTATAATTTTTAGGATGATATAGTTAATTATCAATCTACTATTTCAAAATAATTTAGAAGTACTGTATATATTTATACAATATGTTTAGAAATAAATATTTTTTTGTTTACTATAAGATTAATATAAATTTTGATGAGTTAGTTTTATACCAACTAATTTAGTATCTATATATTTAATCTCAGCTAGGTTTTATCAGTTTATGTGGAATTTATCATATTTTATTTATATTGCATAACAGGAAGCAAACTAAATGATTCGGCGAAGTTTTGAGGGAAAAGGGCTGTTGGAGTAAAATGTGTATTTTTAGACTTTGATATTTAACCTTTGAAGGTTCAATGAAGGTTTTACATCCTTCGAGTTCCCAAATAAAAGCAGCCTTCTAACTTCATGTAGATGTCCTGAGCTTTCAAGATTGGATTCACATGCCCAAATCTAAATTCATTTCGGCTCTCAAACTCTGTATGGAAATTAGAAGATCCAATCTCGTCAAAGTTTGAGCACTGATCAATAATCAAGCTATAACTTGAGTTCTAAAATGCAAAGGAAGCAGTTCAAGATGCATTGGAAAGCTTACATATAAGACTACAACTTTGATGAAGAGCCCAGGCCAAAACTCAGTTGTTATTGGCTCCAAAATCAACTCATAAGCATGCAGAATGCGGCCACTGCAGTGGGGGAAAAAAATTTCCAGCTGCAGCATAAATCAATGGAATTACACTGTGTTCATCACTACAGCAAGGAAAACTCTGCTAAGTGCAATTTCATGGGAAAGCCAGTGTAATAGTTTTCAGAACCCTATTTTTGGAGGCTATATAAGGAAAAGATGTGAGAGCCACCATATACACACTCATAGCTTTAATATAGAGTTGTGACAGCATTTTGTAGCATAGATAGCCACCATAAAAGTTTTTCCAAGAAGAATTTCACAATCTTGTGCATAAGATTTAATCATCAGTATAGAATAATTTCTATTGTTGGGGATCTATTTTTTTAAAATAAAAAAAAAAAGTGTTATTATACACAAAGGTATCAAAAGAGTACCGCCCCTATACAAAACATAGTTGCAAATCAATCAAATTGTGCATGATGATCTCAAAACCATCTCAATCATTAATGTCATGACCTACCAAAATAAAGTCAAAAATATGAACTCATCTATCTTTAATGTTTGTAAAATTAGTCTCTATACCCTCAAAAACTCTCG